AACGGATTTCTCCGGGGTCGCAGTGTTGGATTTCAGTGTGGCATGGAGCACACAGAGGACCAGGAGTTGGCAATACCGTCCTGCCGAAACAGGCTGCCAGGGAGGTACGAGGTCTCTGGTGCAGGAGCTATGAAGCACCCAGCACATCAGGGAAAGGCAGAGAAACAGCCATTTGATTTGTGGTGTTAGGGAAAGGGAGTGAGATGTTTGAACGAGGCAGGGAGAGCCTCGATAACTGGCAGAAAGGATTAATGTGGGGCAGCAAACTCACCATGGAAACCTCAGTAATTTTGAGGGGAAATCAGTGCAGGCCCAAGTTCCCATCACACAAACACACCCATCCAGAAATGCCCTTTGCAACTCTGCTCGCACCCCACTCTGTGACCGTCCCACGTCACAGCACTCCTACACATCCCTCTCCCACATTGTCCTCCTACCTCCTGAACTCGGAGCGCGTAATCCTCGCTCAGCTCCTCAGCCCGTCTGGGGACAGACGGCAGCCACCTGAATGGGGACAACAGCACTGGGCTCACCGCGGCAGCGGCTGGGGCAGGGGGGGGGCCCCCGCCGGGTTTCTGCCCCGCCTCGGCTCTGCCTGCTCGCCCCAGAGCTCTCCCCACAAGACCAGTGTCACAACTCAGCGCCAGCCGGCAGAATTAAGGGCAAGGCACGGCTCGGAAGACAAAACCGGCTCACGGTCTTTATTAGCACTTGAGTGTAACAAGCAAAGCATCTCCTAAGAAAGTTCCCAGAAAGGGTCCCAGTGAGGAGGCGCTGCCAGTAACACAAAAGGAGGAAGCAGATCAGCAAGGCTGGAGCCAGATACAGCTGCAAGAGCTGCAGGACAAAACTTCTCTACTGAAATACCCCAACCCCTAAATGTGACTCCAAGCCCCCTCTGCTGCCTCGGGACCTTTATTCCACCGAAGCGACTTGGCCAGTCTGGGCTCTCCCGGGCCCTAGAGAGGTGTCTGAGTCACCTCTGCGACTCGCTCACGAGGTACTCCAGGGAGGAGACAGCCGCCAGCGGGCTGAGATGCCTGCAGGGAATCACCCATGGGACCCCAGTTACAGCACAGCAGCTGGCTTCAGAAATACACCAGCACACTCGACACAAAAGCCCTGAGAGACTGCTCTCCTTCCCCAGCCAAACACAGGCACCAGCAGCCCTCTCCACTTCGGACGCTGGCTGAACCCGGGCCAGAAGCTGCGTCTGGCCTGACCAAACACCGCTGCACACAGCCCTGCCGAGACCTGCGACAAGGGCGCGCAGCAGCGCCCACCAGATCTCTTACAACAACGGCAAAACCGTCGGGTGCCCTGCCCACGCCGCACCCTGCCCCAAACGAAAAAGAGAGCGAGAGGTAGTACCTTACTTGATAAACTGTGAAGGGAACAAAGAAGGTCCAGAGCAGCTCCGTAATCCAGGAGGAGTCGGCCACGCTCTGGAGAAGAGAGCACAGTGAGACCACGGCCCAGGAGCAGGAGCTGGTCCGGTCTCCGTCAGGGAAGCGGGCAGGTGGGGCACAGCGAAGCCACAGCAGCGGAAAGGGACACACGGGGACGGGGAGAGGGAAGAGCAAACCCAGCGCAGAGGGAGGGCAAGCCCCGGGCAGGGTCACCTTCATCAGGCTGTACCAGGCAGAGCACCACAGTTTTCGTCGCTCCGAGGCACCTTGTGCTCCCATGAGGACAACAAGGTTTTCCCTCGCTGCCTCCCGTAGACACTGTGCTTTTAGAAAGGCCTGAACACCTCCTGACGCTTTCGTGGAGCCACCAGCAACGGGAACTCTGATGGGAACAGCCCACATAACACCTCAATTCCCGTAAGCTTTATCTCTTCATCTCCAAATAGGCTGCCCTGTGGAGTCTTCAGCAACTCTGCTCTTGGAAGGTAAATCACTAAAGCTGAGCTGCAGTTTCTTACTTTCTTCCTTTCTCTAAAAACTAGTAGATACCCTTTTCCCTGAGCAGTACTGCAACGCTTGGCAGCAGAGACTGCAGAGCGGCGGGCTCGCCATCCTCCCCAGCAGGACCTGGCCCCGAGCAGAGGGACCACCCTCCGGAGCCGGGCTGACTGTGAGCAGACGGCTGAGCCCAAGTCCTCCGGGCTCCCCCAACATTCGCTTCTCTCACGGATTCTGAAGAGCCTGCGCCCGAACGGGCGCTGTTCCCAGGGTTTTTGCAGTTGGTTACTTTTATCCTGCAGCCACCAGTTTCCACGAGCTGCTGAGAACACCAGCACAAGATCTGCAGCT